TATTTTGGTGTGTTTTTTTTTTGGTTTTGGGTTTTGTTTTTTGTTTTGGGGTTTTTTTTTTTTTTTTTGCTCTGGTGCATAGAGTTTAGCTGTTCTTTGGATCTTGTGGAATGAATACAATAAGAGTTACTACTGGATCAATTATGGACAAATTTAGAGGATCTGTGTTATGTTAATAGTCCCTTTAATTATAAAATCTACTCGTTACCTAACTTACTAATTTTGGGATAGAATTTAGCCAGATGTGCCTCAAAAATTTGAGTTAATCTCTTCCAAAAAGCACTCAATTCGGAAGAAGCCACTGAAGCTCCTGTCTGCTGCACAGCTCTCATTGTGGCCTGTGGCTACATATGCAACAGAAGTACCAGAAATTTGGTCTTCTTTTTGTCTTAGCCAACCTTGAATCCCAGGAGGGATTCCAGACCTGTAGGGACACACAAAAGCAAATGGGCTGGTGGGGTGGTTCAGTGGCTAAAGATGCTTGCCACCAGGCTGGCTTGATTTGATCTGGAACTCACATGGTAGAAAAAAACTAAATCCTGAAAGTTGTCCTCTGACCTCTGCAGCACATGTGCACCCAAACACGTACGCACACGACAAATAAATAAATAATAAATAAATAAATGTAAAAAAGGTTTTTTTAAAAAAAGCAAATCGTAAAAATTTAGAGTACAGACTTGTATTTTTAAAATTAATTCATCAGGGAGGGTAGGCAGGGTGGTAGTACATGCCTTTAATCCCAGCATTTAGAAGGCAAAGCAGACCTGTATGAGTTTGAGGCCAGCCTGGTCTACAAAGCAAACTCCAAAAGCCAACAACAACAAAAAAATTAATTCACCAGAGCCAGGTCTTAGCGGTACTTATAATCCTAGCACTCAGAAAGCTGAGAGGCAGGGTAATCATGAGTTAAGTCAATTCATTATAAAGCATTAATTAGGAAGAGATCAACACATGAAAAATTCATAATGCTTAAAATTAGAACTTAAATTTCATCTTTTAGGGTGATTTATTTTCTGTGTATGAGTGTTTTGTCTGCATGTGTTAAAGTGCACCCATGTCATGCAGTGCCCACAGAGGCCAGAAGAGGGCATCAGATCCCTTGGAATTGGAGTTGCAGGCAGTTGTTAGCTGCCTTGTGAGTGCTGGAAATTGAACCTGGGTCCTCTGGAAGAGCAGTCATTGCTCTCAATCACTGAGCCATCTCTCCAGCCCCCAAAGTTGTTTTCTTTTTGAGACAGGGTCTCCCTGTAGCCCCAGCTGACCTGGACCTCACTATGTAGACCAGGCTGGCCTTGAACTCACAAAGATCCACCTGCCTCCCGAGTGCTGGGAATTAAAGGTGTGCATGACCACACCAGGCTTCCAAAGTTCATATTTTAAAGTATAGCATCTTTATCATATGTCCAATGATATCCTAAACCCAAAATAATATCCTTTTATTCCATAACTTGCAGAGAGGGCTCAGGATACACACTGCTCAGTTGGTAAAGTGCTTGTCTAGCATGCATAAGGCTCTGAGTTTGATCCCTAGCAGCACAAAAAAAACAGGTAAGATGGTACATGCCTGTAATTCCAGCACTCAGTTGGACACAGGAGGATCAAAAATTCAAGGTCATCTTCAAATACATAAAAAATTTGAGGGCTGGCACGGTGGCACACGCCTTTAATCCTAGCACTTGGGAGGCAGAGGCAGGCAAGGCGGATCTCCAAGTTTGAGGCCAGCCTGGTCTACATAGCAAGTTCCATGTCAACCGGGGCTACAGGGAGACCCTGTCTCAAAAAGACCAAAAAAAAAAAGAAAAACAAAACAAAAAAAAAAAACAGCCGGGCGTGGTGGCGCACGCCTTTAATTCCAGCACTCAGGAGGCAGAGGCAGGTAGATTTCTGTGAGTTCAAGGACAGCCTGGTCTACATAGTGAGTTCCAGGACAGCTGGGGCTACAGGGAGACCCTGTTTCAAAAAGACCAAAAAAAAAAAAAAAGCAAAACCAAAATGTAGGGACTGAGGTAGTGGTTCAGTGTTAGAATCCACAGTTAGCACACATGGAGCCTGGGTTCCCTCTCCATTAATACACAAACATACAGATATCATGCTTTCTTTTTTCTTGGTTTATCTGGAACTTTTAGCAAGAGTCTTTTAATATGGCAGATTATTTAACTACCATTTCAGTACTTATCAGCAAAAATCAAACCACCAGAGCTCCCCGTCTTCCTCTGAGTCATTTCCTCTCCAAACCTCTCCTTTAAATCTTATTTACTTCAGTCTCTAATTTGTTTCTTCTGTATAGTAACTTAGTACTTCTGCTGAAAATTTTTTAAATGTTAATTTTTGTCTTTTCCCATCTTGTTATTATTATGGAAAATTACCTGGTTTTTGTGACCATGTTTCTATTACCTTGATTCCTGATATGTCAGTGATTTTTCTTGTTCAGCTTAATTAGTATGTGTTGGAAAAGTGCATGCACATGTATTTGTCTAAAAGTCGAAAAACATAAGCATTTTGTATTGAGAATGAAAGCTTTAGGTACAATACCACATTATTTAAAATAATTCTTCCAAACAGTATCAAAATATTTATCTCTAAACCACTGGGCTAAATTCAGATATTGTAACTGAAAACTAAGCAACTCAGATATTCCCCCCCCTTGGTAAAACCTTCTTGACTTGTGAAATGAAAAATTAAATGGGTCTAGAAATATTTACTTACTTTCATCTGACCAGGAGAGTTAAAGAAATTTTCCTGATTTCCTTTAAGACAGGGCAGTAGGGGCTGTCGAGATGGCTCAGAGATTAAGAGCACTTGCTGTTCTTGCAGAGGCCTCAGGTTGGATTCCAGCACCCACATGGCTGCTAATAGCTGTCTGTAACTCCAGTTCTGGGAGATTTGATGCCCTTTTCTGGCCTCTGTAGGCATTACACACATATACACTTAACATGCAGGCAAAACACTTCATAGTACATAAAATATAAATAAATAAATAAATAAATAAATAAATAAATAAATAAATAAATAAATAAAAGGACAGGGCGATATTATGTGGCCAGTCCAGTCTGTATATCTGGCATTCCTCAGGGAGCAGGATTCTATATTTGCACTTGAGTACTATTGTTACATGAGGGCAGGTCGAAGCTAATATGATTAAAAATATGTGATTACAGTTAAAGGAAGTAATGAATTATAAGTAACTTTTGGTCATTTTCTGTACTTTGAAAGAATATTAATAAAACTATTATCAAGTGGAGTTGTGAGGGTCTTCATTATTTAACATTTGGATTTATATTGGATCATATGTACAAATCCTAAGAGCTAAGGGACATTGAACAAATGAACATTTCTGAGACTTAGGCCCTTTTTTTGGTTTTGTGTGCTGGGAATCAAATTCAGGGCCTTGCACATGCTAGACAAATGCTCTGCCCCACCCTCAGACTCAGTTTTATTATCCATAAAATGGAATAAAGCTGAGGCTAGAGAGATGACTCCAGAGGTAAGAGAGCTGACTGCTCTTGGAAAAGACCCAGCTTCAGTTCCCAGCACCTACATGGTGGCTAACAACTGTCTGCAACTTCTGTCCCAGAAATCCAACACCCTCTTCTGGCCTCTGGGCATTATATACACATGGTGCACTTACATAGATGCAGGCAAAACATAAACACACACAAAAAAAACATTTTTAATATAAAAAATGGAATATAGCTAATCAGATGTATTTATATAATGTGTTGAATAAGTCTCTGGCAATAAGACCTAAAGACCTGTGTTTTTAGCCAGTTCCCCCAGATAATTATTAGTGTAAAATGGTTTTAAAGTTCTGGCACACACAAGGATTACCTGGTGGACATTCTAAGATACATCACTGGGCCCCATTCCCAGTTAATCAGATTCAGCATTGCTAACAAGCTCCTAGGTGATGCTGATGCTGCTAGCCCACAAAGGCTGTTGGAAACACTTTGGGACCACTGTGTTATATATATGATGCCACTCTGACCAGCCTAATAAAAATTAAAAATTAAAGCAATAATTGAGTTAGCCATGATGGGACACACATGTAATCTCAGCACTCAGGAGGCTGAGGGAGGAAGAAGGCTGTAAGGCCAGTCTGGATTGTATAAAATAGCCTCTGTCTCAAAGCAAAGTAATAGGTAAGCACTCGGGTACTAGGACCATTATATGTGCTTTATATGACTTAATTTTCTCAACGAGCACATTAAATTGATGCTAATATTAGCCTCCTTTTTTTTCTTTTAAAAAAATTTATTGCAGGACTGGAGAGATGACTCAGCAATTAAGAGCACTGGCTGCTTTTGCAGAGGACCCAGCTTTGGTTTCCAGCACCCACATGGCAACTAACAATCATCTGGAACTCCAGTTCCAGGGGATCTGACACCTTCTTCTGGCCTCTTAGGGCATTGCACAGCATAGCTGCACTTACATACATGCAGGCAATACACTCTGAGTACACGGCAGTGCAGTGCCCTCAGAGGCCAGGAGAGGGTGTCGGATCCCCTGGAACTGGAATTTCCAATGGTTGTTAGCCACCATGTGGGTGCTGGGAGCTGAACCCTGGTCCTCTGCAAGAGCAGTCAGTATTCTTAACCTCTGAGCCATCTCTCCAGTCCCTAAAAAAAAATTTATTAAAAAAATTATTGCATTTTATTTTGTATGTGTGCACATGTATGGAAATCAGAAGTCAGCTTGAGGGAGTTGTTTATGTCCTTCCACCCTGTGAGTCCCAGGAATTGAGCTCAAGTTGTCAGGCTTGGTGGCAAGTGCTTTTCCCTGATGAGCCATCTCACTGTACCTGTCCTCATTTTACAGCAAAGGAAAGCTAGTCTCAGAGAGGATCAAAGCTTGCTTAGTCTCCCAGCTAAACAAACCTAGAGAATTTAGCCACAGAGCTCACTCTAGAGCATTATCCAGATAAAAGGTATAATTGGATGATTTATGCATTTCTCCCTTTAAAAGAATTTTTCCTAATGTAAATATATTTGGCGTTCATTCTAACATGAGTCTTGTGTCAAGGACTGGGGAACAAGGCTTACCTGGGTCTCTGATGATAGGGAAAACCCTTTTAGACATGTGCCAACCAGTATACTATAGCCTGTATTCAACTAGACTTCTTAAAAATGTCTTTTGGCACCCGGCACACGCCTTTAATCCCAGCACTTGGGAGGCAGAGGCAGGTGGATCTCTGAGTTCAAGGCCAGCCTGGTCTACATAGTGAGTTCCAGGCCAGCTGGGGCTACAGGGAGACCCTGTCTCAAAAAGAACAACAAAAAAAAAAAAGTCTTTTCGGGGAAGGGGCAGAGGGGGATTGAGTTTTTTAAGATACCTTTTAAAAATATTTAAATGAAATTCTGCTTGTTCCATTTGTTGTTCCATTTGTTCTATACCATTAACTTCTTGTATAAAATGTGATTCAGGTTTCCTCCCTCTTCACAGGGTTTCTGGGGAATCATGGCAGTCAAGTGGACTGGTGGACACTCTTTGCCTATCCTCTGTCTGAATGTGAGCAAAGATGGACTGGTGGCTTCAGGAGCAGAGGGTGGAGATCTCATGGTCTGGGGCGAAGAAGGGACTCCACTAGGACACATGCAGTTCCAAGGAGCTGATGATGTTACCAGCATCTTGTTTTCTCCCTCTTGCCCCACCAAGCTCTATGCCTCACATGGAGAAACTATCAGTGTCCTGGATGTCAGGTCCCTCAAAGACTCCCTGGACCATTTTCATGTGAATGAAGAAGAAATCAATTGTCTTTCATTGAATGAAACTGAGAATTTGCTGGCTTCTGCTGATGACTCTGGGGCAATCAAAATCTTGGACTTGGAAAAGAAAAAAGTGAGCAGATCCTTGAAGAGACATTCCAACATTTGTTCCTCTGTGGCTTTTCGACCTCAGAGGCCTCAGAGTCTGGTGTCATGTGGCCTGGATATGCAGGTGATGTTTTTGCAAATAGCACTTGGGTAATTTCTGAACAGAATTTGTTAACAAAATCAAGTATGTATTTGGTTAGTTGGTTGGTTTTTTTGACAGATCAGGGAATTGAACTCAGGACCTATACATGTGAAACATCTGCTCTACCGCTGAGGTATATCCCCAGCCCCTGGAATCAAACTGCTGATCAGGCTAAATATATTGCATTTTTTGTTTTCTGCTAACATTTTTTAGCCAGTAATGAACCATAAGCCTTATTTCTACAGTGAATGCTAATGTGACCAAATATGCTACATTTTATTTATTAGTCTTCAGTTTATTTATTTTTATTTATTTATTTTTATTATTATTTTTTGGTCTTTTTGAGACAGGGTACCCTTGGAGCCCAAGCTGCAGTGCTCACAAGTGCTGGGATTAAAGGCGTAGCCACCACCCTCTTAACTGCTGAGCCTTCTCTCCAGCTGTTACATTTTTTTTTGAGACAGGGTTTCCCTGTAGCCCCAGCTGACCTGGGACTCACTGTATAGACCATAGCTTTAATCCTAGCACTCAGGAGGCAAAGGCAGGTGGATCTCTGTGAGTTTGAGGCCAGCCTGGTCCAAATAGTGAGCTCCAAGCCAGCCAAGGCTACAGGGAGACCTTGTCTCAAAAACGACAGCAACAACAATAAAAAAGCACTGTAGTTAAGTAGAGTGGCTAGAACACTGTATGACTGTGTAAATTCATCTTGTGTAAAGGTGATGCTGTGGAGTCTTCAGAAAGCCCGTCCAGTCTGGATTACAAATTTACAGGAAGATGAAACAGAAGAAATGGAAGACCCCCAGTCACCCGGTCAGCTCCTAAACCCTGCTCTAGCCCACTCTGTCTCTGTGGCATCCTGTGGCAATATTTTTAGTTGTGGTGCGGAAGATGGTAAGGTTCGAATCTTTAGAGTGATGGGAGTCAAGTGTGAACGAGAACTGGGATTTAAAGGCCACACTTTGGGGGTATCCCAGGTCTGCTTTCTGCCAGAGTCATATTTGCTACTTACTGGAGGGAATGATGGGAAGATAATGTTGTGGGATGTGAGTGGTGAAATGGAGAAAAAACAGAAGAGTCCTGCAAAACACACCCACAGGAAGAAAGCTAGAAGAGCAGGTTTCCCCAAGCAGGGTGGAAACATTAGTGCCACAGGAGCAGATGAGGAACACACAAAGATTTTGCCAAAGCTAAATATTGAACATGGAGAAAAAGTGAACTGGCTCTTGGGTACAAAAATAAAAGGACACCAAAGTATATTAGTAACTGATCAAACTAGTTGTATATCTGTATATCCCTTAAATGAGTTTTAAATCCAATAAAAAAATTTAAGAACTGTGATAAAGCCTTATTTATTTATTTATTTAATATTTTATTTATTATTTTTATTTTATGTGTATGTGTATTGCCTGCATGTATGTGAGTGCACTGGCTGTTCTTGCAAGAAGACCCGGGTTTGAATCCCAGCACCCACATGGCAGCTAATAACTGTCCATAAATCAAGTTCCAGGGGATCCAACGGCCTCTTCTGTCCTCCGAGGGCATTGTATGACATGAGTGCACTTACATACACACAGACAATACACACATATACATAAAATAAAAGTAAAATATATTTTTTTTAAAGTTTGGATGGGGCTGGAGAGAAAGCTCAGCAGTTAAGAACACTGGCTGTTCTTACAGAAGACCCGGGTTCAAATCCCATCACCCACATGGCATCCAACAACCATCCATAACTCCAGTTCCAGGGGATCCAACGGCCTCTTCTGTACTCTGCAGGCATTGCATGACATGGGTGCACTTACCTACATGCAGGTAATACACGCATATACATAAAAATTTTTTTAAAGTTTGGACAGCCGGGTGTGGTGGCGCATGCCTTTACTCCCAGCACTCTGGAGGCAGAAGCAGGCGGATCTCTGAGTTCAAGGCCAGCCTGGTCTATGAGTTCCAGGACAGCTGGGGCTACAGGGAGACCCTGTGAAAAAAAGACCAAAAAGAAAAAAAAGTTTGAACAAAGAGAACTAATAATCACTGAGTCTGTCTATCAGCTATTCACTGACTGTTAATTATATACCAGATATTTTACATATTCTTCCTCCAATCAATGAAATCAGTGATTTTATTTATTTGATATAAGAATCTAGACTCACAGATATAAAGTAGCTTGAGGATCCAAGAAACATTCAGGCCCAATTACTTGCCTAGAAAAGACCTTGTTTCTTTCATCAAGCCTTGTGCTTTAGGAAAGCCCATATCCTGACCCAAATGTAATCACTATGTTGGTTAGAAGATTAGTTATATTGTTAGCAATAACCCAAATGTCTATCAGCTGATGATGGTTTGAACAAATTGTGGTATATCCATACAGCTGAATCAAAGAAACTAATTATTGACATATAGAACAAGAATAAATCTCAGCCAGACATGGTGGTGCATGTCTTTAATCCCAATACTTGGGAAGCAGAGGCAGGCAGATCTCTGTTAGATCAAGGCCAGCCTGGTCTACATAGTGAGTTCCAGGCCAGCTGGGACTTCAGGCAGATTTTGTCTCAAAAAGACAAAAAATAAAATATAAAGTGAAATTAAATAAAAGGCAAGGATAAATCTCAGAAGCATCATGGTCTGGGAAAGAAGCCACACTCAAAATACTGTGTGACATCCTAGAATAGGGAAAACAAACAGATCAAAGGTTACCAGGGGCTAGGGAGCTGATTGTCAAAAAGCACGGGAATTTCTGAGGTTTGTAGAGGATGTTCTGTCTTCTTTATCTTGATTGTAGTATAACAGTAAACATTTGACAAAGTTTATCAAATTGTACTTTTTTAATTACTAAATTTTATTATATCACAAAACTGATTTTTCTTATAAAAGTTAGTTATAAGCCTGGCTTGGTGTCACATGCCCATAATCCTTGGGAGATTGAGTCAAGAGGATCACAAATTTGGGGCTAGACAGCAACAAAAAAGAAGTCAAAGCCAATCTGTGCTATATTTTGAGATCCTGTCTCAAAATAAATAAAAGAAAAAGAAAAAGATTGCTTGAAATGTCCAGGTTGAAGACAAGTGTCTTGGTCCTTTTTCTAAGCCTGCTACTACCCAGAGTCTCTTATATACAAAGTTTAGAACTTTCATTGTCATGAATGTTTTATTTTGTTTTTTGAGACGTGGTCTCACTATATATAGTTCTTGCTGGCCTGGAACTCACAGAAATCCACCTGCCTCTGCCTCCCAAGTGCTGGAATTAAAGGTGTTTGCCACCATACCTGGCTGAACCTTTTTTTTTTTTTTTGGAGACAGGGTCTCTCTGTCACCCCAGCTGGCCTGGAACTTGCTACGTAGACCAGACTGGCCTTGAACTCACAGAGATCTCCCAGACTCTGCCTCCTGAGTGCTGAGTGCTGGGGTTAAAGGCATGCAACACCATGCCTGGCTTGATTTTGCTTTTTAAAATTAATTTTCCATTTAAAATAATAATCTTTCAGGCTGGAGAGATAGTTCAGTGGTTAAGAGCATTGGCTGTGCTTGTAGAGATTCCCAGTTTGGTTCTCAGCACCCACATGGCAGCTAATAACCATCAGTAACTCCAGTTCTAGGGAATCCAACGCCCTCTTCTGCCCTCCTCTGGTACTTCATGCGCCTACATATATGCAAGCAAAATATTCCTACACAGAAAATAAAAATAATAAAAAAATTTTGAAAAGATGATCTTTGTAAGGTTTTATCACAGCACTTTTTCCATATTTTTCTTCTTTAAAGTTATGATCTTAGAAATAATAATACAACTCAGGAACTTGAGTAGGAAGATTGTGTTTGTGACCAGCAAAAGGAACAAAGGGAAGAAGGAGGGAAGGAGGGAGGGAAGGAAGGAAGAAAAGGAAGAAGAAATAATTTTTTAAGAGTCTTATGTTAAAAAAAAATCCAGGGCTGGAGAGATGGCTCAGCAGTTAAGAGCACTGTCTGCTCTTACAGAGGTCCCGGTTTGATTCCAGCACCCACATGGTGGCCAACCACCATCCGTGATTCCAGTTCCAGAGGATCCAATGCCCTCTTCTGACTTCCTCAGGGATTGCAGGACATACATGCAGGCAATACACTCATACACACAATTTTTTTAAAAATTTTTAATTAAAGAAAAAAAACCTTTGGTTGTTCTGCAGACATAAGACATAGACTGGAGCCAGCAGTCACTCACATGAGGGTCAGTGGGTTCCTGCTCTAAAAATCTGTCACCAGCTTTCCATTCACCAACAGTAGCAATGGGAGTAGCAAGAAGTGTGAAGAAGATTTATCTTCCATGTCATAGAGTATCTTTGATTTGGAAGAAAATACAGTATCTAAAAATGTTACAAAAATAAATGGCTAGCCTGGTGTGGTGGCACACACCTTTAATCCCAGCACTTGGGAGGCAGAGGCAAATGGATCTTTGTGAGTTCAAGGCCAGCCTGGTCTACATAGTGAGTTCCAGGACAGCTGGGGCTACAAGGAGACCGTCTCAAAAAGACAAAAAAAAAAAAAGAAAGAAATGGCAGGTAAAATAGCATTTTAAAACCTAAGTAAAATTAAGAACTCATGACCCCTATCCTCAGGCCTCTTGGGGTAAGTCTATAGCGCAGCTCTCCGTGCCTTGACTCCCCAAGCCACATTCACCCTTCCATCTCCCTCGCTGTTCGCTACTCCTAGTTTGGGACCTGCACTATCCCTAGTCTTGGGGCCCCAGCCACCGGGGGAACCAATACTGCTTCCTGACCCTTCTCACCCAGACCAACTTAGTGCCTTTCTTGGGCCCCAGGAGCACCGCTTCTGGACCTGGCCCCGCCCTCACCTCCCTCTACTTCCCTGGTCCTGCAACACCCGACAGCCTCTTTCTGGGGCTGACAGCCTCTTACTGGGGGCTCCGAGGCTTACCTTTACTCTCCCTGATCCTTTGCATACAGTACAACCCAGCTACTCAATCCACTCCCTGGGAAATCTTGGGGCTTCTTCCCTCCCCATCTGCTTTTG